CTGCCAGATCTGGGACTTGAACTGTGGTTGGCCATATGGGAGTCCAGCACCTCAACCACCATGCCATCGGCCAGCCCAATATTTTAGTTTTTTAATGACGTAGAGTACATGCGTATGTGCCTGCACGCAGTTGGGAGGCAGGGAGAGGAGCATCCCCCGCAGGGTTTTACTACGCTGCAGTCCCTTTTGCCTAGCCCTCCAGCTCTTCAGGATCCCAGGTGTTTGTGCCTTTGAGCCTTGTAGAGTACTTGGAAAAGAAAAGTTGTAATAAAGGACAATATTGGGACAACTGGCAAATTTGGAATAGGTACTGACTATTAGATAAGAGTATTATATCAGTGTTAAATGTCCTGAGTTTGGTAGCCCATTGTGAATTTGAAAAGAGTAACCTTGTTTTTTCCTTTCCTTTTTCTGTTTTTGCTAGGGGGCGTATGCTCATATGTGACACACACACACACACACACACACAGAGAGAGAGAGAGAGAGAAAAGAGAGAGAGAGAGAGGATGCCTCAGTGGGGTCTAGTTAATGCCATAATCATTTTTTCCTCCAATTCTCCATTCATTCTGTTAAGATTGTTGTCACGTGCACACGTGCCCAGTGAGTTTTTGAAGCTACAGGAGGCATGATTTAAGTCATAGTTGGCCATGCGGCATCTAGCTCCCTCTGCAGAGGACTTAACTGCTCCACCATGGGACTGGCCCAAGCTTTATTTATTTATTTAAATTTGACCAGAGGGGGACAGAATGTGAGCGGGGTGGGGGGCGGGGAGAAAGAGAAAGAGAGAGAGAGAATGAGAATGAGAATGAAAGTGAGAAAGCAAGTTACCAAGCCTGGGACTTGAACCACTGGTGGTCATGTGGGAGTCCAGTGTCCTTAACCACCACACCACCTGCCAGCCCCCTCGTTCTGTTTTTCTTTTTTTTAAGTTTTTGCTGTAGGGTGTGTGAACCTGCTAGAGAGGGAAAGTGAGAAATCACTCTGCAGAAGGCATGGGCATGCCATAGTTCCTTCTCCTCCATTCTCCTCTCGGGATCTTGGGCATGCACGCACACACATCTGGTGTGATTTCCAAGCTACCAGGTCCAGGACCTGAACCTTGGAGTTGGTCATGTGGGATTTACTGCCTTAACCTTCATGCCACCTGCTGGCCTCAGACCTCGTTTTGTTCTTAAGAGGGGTGATGGGTCATTGTTTTTGCAGCTCACTCCCATCAAAACAAGAAAGAAAGAGAGAGAAAGCAGGTTGTACGTCATTAAGGGAATTTTGGTGTTTGTAGTAATAGTTTTGCAGCTTTTCTGTGATTTGAAATTTTTTCAGAATAAAACTTTTTAAGGTCACTGAGATTGCTGTGTTGGGAAAAAGCTACAGAGGGCCAGGAGGAGAGGAGGATGGGCCTGAGAGGAGGCTTTTGGGATGATGGAGGCCTAGACTCGAGTGTAACTGTGAGGATAGGGAGAAGGCAGAAGATAGTTCTGGAATACTTTCTTTTTTAATTTTAATTGCCAGAGGATGCATGTACTTGAGAGAGAGAGAGAAAGCACTTTTAATGAGGCATGGTCACGCTGCAAACCCTTTTCCTCCATTCCTCCTTCCCTTCAGGAGTTTGGGAATGCACACACATGTTCTGTGTTGTTTTTTGTCATAAGATTTGATTGGCTATGTGTGGAGTCTGGCTCCTTTAACCACTGCACTGGTGGGGGGGTGGCCTTGAAATACATTTTTGAGGTGGAACTAACAGAATTTGCTGATGGTTGGATGAGGTGCTGGAGGTGCTGGGGGTGCTGAGGTCGAGGGGAGAAGGAGGTAGATGTTGCCCCGTTGGGATTTGTTGATGATTGCAGACTGAATTCCAGTAGAATCTTTTCCAGAAGATGTTCTTATTCTCTCTTATTGTACTCAGTTCAGCCACTCTAAGAATAGTTAATGGAGTATTTATTTTACAGATGAGGTGAGACTCAGGGAGGAGAAGTGATTTATTTAAAGTTATCAGGTAGGGACCTGACATGGTGGTTAAGGTGCTAGACTCCCACATGGCCAACTACGGTTTGAGTCCTGGACCTGGCAGCTTGCTCTCTCACTTTTTCTCTCTCTGATCAAATGAAAATAATAACAGTAAAAAAATAAAATTAAATTCATGATTCTTAAAAAAATAAATTTATCAGGTATAGGAAGAAATTTTACTCTCTTTACTCAGAAAACCAAAATTTAAGCATGAAATGAATATTCTTCAAAATGAATTGTCTCCTATTAATTGATTATGAAATCAACATAGTAGACAGCCACAGCCTTGAAGAAAAGAGAGAAAAACAGAATAAAAAATACTGTTGCATGCCTGTGTAGAAAGGGTAAATAATATTTGATGAAATTCCTGTTTTTGTTTTACATGTGTATGTGTATATACTAGATCATGATGTAATGCACATCTTTCTTTAAGTTGCCATCAAAAATTGGAAAGCTACATGCAAGACTGTTGTGGAAGAAACTTTGGTTGTCATAGAGGTCCTGCATTCCCCATGGGAGTAAGAATGCAAACTCACTTGGGTGGCTGCTGTTAGCTGTCCCGTGTTGTTTATTTCTTTAATGATTGATGGGCTGTAAGTCAGTGTTTTCTTAGTTGATTTCATAGGCATCCTCTGTATCTAGTCTTGCAGCCAGTAATACTCAATGCCTGCTGTGTGTAGGGTTGGAGCAGTTACTTACCTTAAGAAGTTTCTGCTCTGGGACCAGAAGATGGCATAATGGTTATGTCGCTGGACTTCCACTCCCAGTGGCTGACTGTGGTTCGAGTCCTAGAACTGGTAGCTTAAAACTCATGCTGGGTGTGTGTGCGTATGTGTGCCTAAAATCCAGAGCAGAGAAGGGATTGTAGGGTGGCCATCCTCCTGGGGCGGGCTATTTCTTGCTTTCTGTCTCTGTCTCTCCAGTCACCACATGGGCTCTATAGCAAGTCTCTCTCTCTAAAAAACAAAAAAAGTTTCTGCTCTGTTATTTTTATGTCGTGTTTTTCTTAAATGAATTTTATTTTTTAAGAGCAGTTTTAGATTCACAACAACATTGAGCATAAGGGGTAGAGTTTTCCACATATTCTCTGACCCCACACATGCACTGTCTTTCCCCATTATCAATATCTCCCACCAGAGTGGTGTGTTTGTTACAGCTAATATACCTACATTGACGTAGTATCCCCCCCACCCCCAGTCCACAGTTTACATTAAGAGCCACTCTTGGTATTGTATATTCTATGGGCTCAGGATAATCATATTTTTACAAAAAATTTTATTTGATACATTGGGAATAATAGGACTGATTTCACAGAGTTGTTGGATAAATTAAATTAGTTAATAAAAGCAGAGTGCTTTGAACATTTCTGGCATAAAAAATAGCTTGTTGTTTGTGGTGGTGGTAGCTATTATAAGAAATCAATTCAGGTTTAAGGTTTAGATTGCAGGTTACTATAGGAGTAAATAATAATAGTATTGGCTGTCATTTGTATGTGCCATGTGATAATCAATTTTGTTTAACTTGTTTTCTTGAGTAGCATATTAAAGTAATCCTGAGCAATGAGGGGACCTTGTTACTAGATTGCCATTAAATGATGATGTCAAGTGTCCCTAAAATCAAAATAATGGAAAATTGGCTTCCTTTTTCTCAACCATTTAATTTACTGTCTCTTGATCACATATCTTCTTTCCTTACTTTCAAGGTCAGTGGAAGATGATAATTTTTACTGGGCTGCTGCTGCTTCTTACAGATTATCAGCTAAAAGACCTTCTTGGATTTGACAAATGAAATCTCTTTTCATTCCCAGGAGGAATTTGCTAAACCAATGAAATTCACAATTAGAATTCCTATGCCTTTCTAGTGTGCAGCATTTTATTCATCTCAAATAAATATACAATCTCAGGCATCCTACAAGGCAAATAGATTCCTTTTTAATTAGTGGCTCTATATACAGTTTTTATCATCACGAAATTTATAAATGGAGAAGGGAATAAATATTTACATTTGCAACTTCATGTCAACATTGCCCACTATTTGAAGAGCTCTGAAAATGCAAATGTATCTCCACCTCCTTTTTTTTTTTTTTCACCATGGCAGTAGAAAAATCATCTTCAGCCTCCTGTTTCTATTCCTTGCTCTGTATGTAGGGAATATGGAATATACATATCAGTGTTCTTTCTTTGTGACTGGCATTACTTTTTTCATACAAAAATTTGTCCTCAAAGCTGATCTTCAATTTTTTGTTGTTGCTTTTAAACATTTTTAATACTAAATTTGTTTTTCCTTTTCATTTGTCAATGGGAGAGTACACTTGCCAGAAAGACAGTGAGAAGGAGAAAGCACTTGCATTAAGGTACAATCTGTTCCTCTTTATGTCCCCATCCCGTTGAATTTGGGGCATGCACGTTCACATGACCAGTGTATTTTCCATCTATTGGGGCTGGAATTTGAACTGTGCTGTCAGCCATGTGGGATCTGATTCTCTTAATCACCAGGCCACAGAGCCGGCCCTAAATTTTTTCTTTATTCTTGATGGTAGAGAACATGGGTATGCGTGTTACAGTGAGAGAGAGAGAGAGAGAGAGAGAGAGAGAGAAAGAGAGAGAGAGATGAAGAGAAAGAAGGCGGGAGATGAGTACATGGTTTGGTCATGCCATAATCCCTTTCCTCCCGTTCTCTAGTCCATCTGGGCACTTGTGTGTGCCTGGTCTGACCAGTCTGGGTTGCCATGTGGGAACTGGTTTCTTCTGAGTGATGCAAGACCACTACCCCATGGAGTTAGCCCTATTGGTGCTTTTTGTAGTACAGTTTCTTTTATTTTCTTTCTTTTTTGGATGCTTTATTACCTAAAGTCAAAAGGGACAATACAAAAGCTGTTTTATTTACCAAACAAGCTCAGTAGACCTACAGAAAGTTTTGGTCCTTTTTTGCTAAGTTGTCAGATGCTTGAAGTAGTTGACCAGACAGCTGTGTTTTAACGTCCCAGCTTAACATTTTCAAGGCTGCTGAATAATGTAGATCCTTTTTAGTGGAGTGATCGACTCCAGAGCAAGTGTTTTTTTTTTTTTTTTTTTTAAAGGTTTTTGCCATAGGGCACGTGTGCTCACGAGAAAGACAGAGAGAGAGAGCTAGAAAGCGAGAAATCACCTCACCCCCCAGGGAGGACGGCCACACCGCAATCCTTAATCACCCCCCCGGGGGAATGGACATGCCACAATCCCTTCTCTTCCTTTCTCCTTTTGGGATCTTGGGCGCACATGCACACGTGCCGGCGTGAGTTTAAGCCACTGGGTCTGGGGCTCAAACCGTCGTCGACTACGTGGGAGTTCAGCGACATAGCCATTATGCTAACTGCTGGTCCCAGAGCAGGTGTGGGTTTTTGATGTACCATGTGTACTGTTGGTGGAAATTTGTGGTTGACCTTGTCCAATGTATCATTCAGGGCATAAAGTGTCTGTATTTTGACAGTGTTTGCTGTGGCACTTGTTTTCTCTAATCCTGTGTTTTTGCTGTGTCTCTCCAAGACTCCAATTTCTTGTTTTTTGGAAATACACATTCCTCCGGCTTTTACTGCCGGAGGATGCCCCCCTTTCAGCGGGGAGAAGACTTGCACTTTGTTTGCCATAGTGCTGCCTATGCTGGTGCCCTGGAGGCCACGTCTGTAGTACAGTTTCTAAGGCATCTCCCAAGTCGAAGGCAAAATGTGATTTCGTGAAGTTGCTGTTTTGTACTCTTTGTGCAGAATTATTTTTAAATTTGAAGAATTTTTATTTGTTTGATTTTTGCTATAGAGTGTGTGCATTCACTGGGAAGAGAGAGATAGAGAGAGGGAAAGTGAGAAATCACCACCCCAAAGGGAGTGGCCATGCTGCAGTCCCTTCTCCATTCTCCCCACAAGATTTTGGGCATGCATGCACAGCATGATGATTGGCATGATTTTTCAAGCTACTGCATCCAGCACGTGAACCACACAGTTGGCCATGTGGGATCCAACCACTGCCCCAACCACCATGCCACCTGCCGGCCCTTTAAAGAGATATTTTATTCCAGGGCAGAATTAAGCCAACCGCAATGTTTTTGGTAGCAACATAATGAAGGGTTGAGATTTCATGTGTCAGTTTGGGCAGTTTTAAGCTTGATAAGATGAAAATTTAAAAAATGCTTAAATGTGCCATGATTTTAAAATTCCAGTTAAAGACCAAAAGCTAGTTAAAAATGGATTAAAATTGACTAGCAGATAGCCTGGTAGTTAAGGATACCAGCTCTCACAGGACCCACCATGGTTTGAGTCTCAGCTCTGGTGGCTTGAGAAGCGTGCTGGGTGCATGTGGGTGCATGTCCAAGATCCCGACAGGATGGAGAAATAAAAATAGAAGGGAGTGCTGAGTGACTACACCCTATTGATGGGGTGCTTTCTCTCTCCCTGTCTCTGCCTTTCTCTGCAAGTGCATGTGCTTTCTAACAATTAAAAAAAAAATTAAAAAACTTTATTGAAACAATGCAGAAAAGGGGGAGAGGGACTGATTTAGCCAAAATATGAAAGAGATGTAATTTATTTAAGGCTTTACCGCAATTTTGATGCTGCAAAAAGTGACTGCCTAATTTCAGGTTTTGAGGATGGTCATTACACTGTGCCTGCACTCAAAAGATCTATTTTAGGTCACTTAGACATAATAAAATGTGTTCAATAGAGTAATCTTTTTAAAAATAAAAAATAATTAAGATGAAAGAACAGGTAAATTCTATGTCTAGAATTAATAATTTGGTTCAAAATATCCTGGAAACTAAGGAGAAAAGAGATGTTGGTTTCTAAAATTCTGACTGTCAGATTAGGAAGGATAGAAATTTGAAGAGAGGGTTTCTTTCTTTCTTTTTTTTTTCCCCCTGTTTTTTTCTCCCTCCTGAATTTAGGGTTAATTTCTTTTGGTTTCTAATCCTATTATTATCAGTAATAACAATGTCTGTCAGTCTTTCCTCCCACTCTGCTCAGTCTTTCCTCAAACTCTGCTCACTTCTCCCCTGTTAAAGAGAAATAACTCATAAAAATAATGCATGCTGGTTGCACAAAAAGAAAATAAGAAACAAACATCTACATTTCTTTAGGGAGATTTTTGCTATAGAGCAAAGAGAGACAGAAAAGTGAGAAATCACCCCCCTAGAGGGGATGGCCATACCAGAATCCCTTCCCCATTCTCTTCTCAGGACTTTGGCATGCACAAACACATACCCAGTGTGTTTTAAGCCACTGGGTCCGGAGCTTGAACCAAAGTCGACTATGTAGGAGTCCAGCAACATAATCATTACGAAATTTGCTGGTCTCTTGACAAAGTCTCTTAGAATGATGCTAAACCTATATTTGAGGAGATATTTTTCTTTTCTTTTTTTTTTTGAATTATTTTTATTAGTTTTATTTAACGTTATTATTTATTTATTTATTTATTCATTCATTCATTCATTCATTTTAATTTGACCAGAGACGGACAGAGAGAGAGAAAGTGAGAAAGCAAGCCACCAGGTCCGGGTCTTGAACCACAGTCGGCCATGTGCGAGGGAGTCCAGTGCCCTCAGCCACCATGCTACCTGCCAGCCCCCCAAGGAGACATTTTTAGCCACAGAAAGGGATGGTATTAAATCACAGTCCATTTTTCTGTTCTCCCTCTCTGTCTCTCTCTTTCTTTCAGATATTATAGAACACTTGTGCTTACCAGAGAGAGACAAGAGAGGGAAAGTGAAAAAGCACCCCTATGGGAAGGATTACCACACCATATTTCCTTCTCCACTCTGGATTTTGGGCATGTATACACACATGCCTAGCATGTTTTTCAAGCCACTGAGTCCAGAACTTGAGCTGTGCAATCCTCTGTTGGCCACGTGGAATCTAGCCATCTTAACTACCACGTCACTGGCTGATCCTGGACTGGCTCTTTCTTAGGAAGTGTCATAGGTGTGTAAATTAGGGATTTGTTCAACTCAGATCATAGAGAGCTCTGCTGATGAGAGATTAAATAGGTAGGTAGAGAGGGGCCAGCAGGTGGTATGGAGGTTAAGGTCCTAAATCCCACATGACTGATTCCACAGTTTGAGTTCCATGCCCAGTGGCTTGAAAATCATGCTGGGTGCCTGTGTGTGCATGTCCAAAATCCTGAGAGGAGATCGGAGGAGAAGGGATTGCGAAGTAGATTCCCTCTGAGGGATGATTTCTCACTTTCCTTGTCTTTCTCTCTCTCTTACGAGCACATGTGCCCTGTAGCCAAAACTAAAAACAAAGAAAAATAAATAAATAGGCTGCTGTGTTTCTGGCAGCCAGTAGTTGGGGAAGGTGCTGCAAAGCTGGTACAGCTGCTCATTATGCCATGCTGCCGTCAGGACCCAGGGGCTTTGCATCCTCCGGAATCACCATCGTTAGCATAGAGGCCTTCGTCATGTTGGTTTTATTCACACAAACTAACTTTATATCTAGCCACTACCTCTTTTTTCCTGAAGGGAAATGGGGAGAAAGGGCCAAGAATAACAACAAAAGCTTGTTTCTTTTTATTCAGGAAATGAGACATTCTCAAGGAGCTTCAGCTTATATTTCATTGGCTTGAGCTGAGCCACATGGTCATCACTAGTTGCAAGTTGCCCTGGAGGTTAAGGATTTAGCTTTCCAGTCACTTTGGTTGGAAGTTAAAGGAGAAGATTGTGGAAACGAGTTTGAAACAGTCAGTCTACACAGAATCCACCTTGTTAGGGCAACATGATCTTGATATTGTTGACATGTTTAGGAGCTTTACTAGGGTGACCAGCCATTTTGGTTTGCCCAAGGCCAGGAGGTATCTTGGGATATAGGACTTTCACTGCTGTACCTGGATAGTCCTAGGAAAACCAGGCTGGTTGGTCATCCTAGTCTCCCCTCCCATATCCTCTGTGATCCCAAAATAAGGAAGCAAGTATCTCTTGAGAATGGAGCCACCTTGGCAGGGCTTCACAAAGCCCAAAAGGCAGAATAATTTACAATGAGAAATAAGTGATATAGGATCAGGGTTGCATACTGCAAACAGAATTCCATGGAAGTGGTTTACTTAGTGTGAAATTTTGACAAGAGATCTCAGGGCTGCCAAGTGCCCCAACTTCAGGGGGCTCTGTTCTCATTGCCAGTAGCCGGGGTTGACTCTTAGTGCTAATGCCATTCAGAAGAGCCTTTCTAGTGGGACAGGGCTCATTGTTCCTAGACACTCTGCTGATCAAGCTTCTCCCCTAGACAGTGCTGTTTTTGTTTTCCACCGTTTCTAAGATTCTGCTTCTGACTGGCCTCCTCTTCTAATGGATAGTGTTTATTATCTTCAGAATTTTTAATTAAGCTTAATCCACATTTCGTAAAATTTATCCCTTTGAAGTGTGCAAGTCAATAGTGTTTTGTTTTGTTTTTGAGATAATTTTTGCTATAGGGCAGGTGTACTTGGTGGAGAGACAGAGAGAGACAGACAGACAGAAAGTGAGACATCACCACCCACGGGAGGAGAGCAACACCACAGTCCCTTCTCCTGCATTCTCCTCTAGGGAGTTTGGATGCGCATGCACACGTGCCCAGCATTAGCTTTAAGCCACTGGGTCCAGGACTCAAACCATGGTGGACTACATTGGAATGCAGTGATGTAACAATTACCACCATCCGTTGGTTCTGAAACTCAGTAGTTTTTACAGCCGCAAGTCATGCAACTGTTACCACTATCTAATTTCAGGACATTTTCATCACCCCAAACTCTAGCCCCGGTAGTCACTGCCTATTGCCTGCCTCCTTCAGCAAGCCCTGACAACCACTAATCTACTTTCTTTTTTTGGGGGGAGAGGTTTTTACTATAGGGTGTGTGTGCTCGCCAGACAGACAGAGAGGGACAGAGAGACAGAAAGCGAGAAATCACCCCCCGGGGGGCTGGCCATGCCGCAATCCCTTCTCCTCCATTCTCCTCTCAGGATCTTGGGCACGCATGCACACGCGCGTCTCTAAGCCCCGGGGTGTGGGACAGGAGCCAAAGTCGACTACGTGGGGGTCCAGCGACATAGCCATTATGCTAACTGCTGGTCCCCACTAATCCACTTTCTGTCTCCATGGATTTCTAAATGGAATCGTATAATGCATGGCCTTTTTTGTGACTGGCTTCTTTCACTGAATATAATGTTTTCAAGTTCATCTGAGTTGCAGGATGTATCAGTACTTTACTGCTTTTAATTTCCAAATAATATTTCACTGTATGGATAGACCACATTTTGTTTGTCCGTTTGTCATACATATGAGCCGCTTCTACTTTCTGGCTATTGTGAATAATATGTTACTATGAATATTTGTGTACAAGTTTCTATGGAGACATGTTTTCATTTCTCTTGGGCATATACTTAGGAGTGGAATTGCTGGGTCTTTGGGCAGATCCTGCTCTGATTCTTTAAGGAGACTGTATATGCCTAGTATTTCCTGTTTTATCATTTGCGTCTCCCTGGATGTTCCCAAGATTTAGGGGTTATACACATCAGAGTTGTCCCAGTTGACTCCTTCCACCTTGTCTATGGGGGTGACTGTGAGGCTCACCTGAGAGAGTCGTGGATGGAAAGGTGCCGGCCCATAGCCTGAACATCACTCAGTTGTGGCTGGTCCAGTGCCCATAGCCTCCTGCCTTTGACTCCTGGCCAGCGTCAAACACCTCGTATATACCTTCTGGGCTTTTTCTTTCCTTCTGTTCAAACACAAGAATTTGATATCATTTATTGATACTTTTGGACTGATCATTAATGAAAACGTTTATATGCTTTCTCGTGTAAACTTTACATGTTAAATTGAGTATTGCAAGCATGCACTGACTAGCACACAGGTGGAGATGGCATTTTAGACACCAGACGTTCTCATGTCACACCAGGCTTCCTTTTGGGGTTGACCTTGAAAGTATACTCTTGGTGGGTGATAGAGGATGGGGGCACAAGTCAGAGAGAACCTTGCCTTCCCCTTGTTTCTCTGCCTAAAGCAGAGAGCTGCACTGGGTACCTGCCAGAGCTGTGGGGGTCCCCATCTCTTCAGCTTCACTTTTGAGCCCAGAGCTCTGTCCCTTCTTCATGGTTTCCCTTGCTGTCGTTCTTCCTTTAACTTGAACAAAGGTTCCTCTAATTTTTACCCTCTTACTATTAATATTAACTTGGCTTATTGCCGCTTTTCCTTAACCTCATCCTAAAAATGTCTGATGCATATTTTATATTTTCTTGCATGTTTGACTTTTAATTGCTTTTTAACAGTAATTTTATTCTGTAGCCACCTTCTTATCTGATACCCTACAACTTATCCCTGTGCTTCTCAAGTCTAGCCTCTGGTAATTAAGTTTTGTGAAAAAGTCGTGTGACATTTGGGTATATTCTCTTATAAGTGCAGGTATTATTACTGTATACGAGACAAATAGCATGCATCTATGACACATTGTTCTGCCTTGAGCATACTAATGTAATTTAGAAAGAAACCTCTTTATTGTTGTTGGTGGTGTTGTTGTTAAAGATATTTTTACATGGGCCACATGCTTTCAGACCTATTTCATAGTCATTTGTGGTTTTTAAGGTATGTCAATAGAGATGCTGTCGCTAGCATGCCCAGATTCCGTTAGATAAACATTCTGTGAGATTGCTTAGCTTTAAAAATCTTCTTTGTTTAAAAGTTAATTTCTTCTCTAATATCTCAGCAAAGAACTTCTTTGGTATTTAGGAGACCTGATAAAGTCTAGTTAAAACATTCTGTTTTGCCTTTTTACCATTTCTTTTTTTATTTTTTAAATTTTGCCAGTGGGTACATAACACGTGCTAGAGAGAGACAGAGTGGGAAAGAGAAAGAGAGAGAAAGTGAAGAAGCACCCTCCCTGGGGAATGGTCATGCCACAATCCCTTCTTTATTTCTTCTTTCTTTTGGGATTGTGGGCACACATGCCTATGTGCCCAGCATGTTTTTCAAGCCTCTGGGTCCAGGAATTAACCTATGTGGTTGGCCATGCAAGATCTAGTTGCCTTAACCGCAATGCCACCAGCTGGCCCTGTTTTGCCTTTACTTTTATTTTTTAGGATTACTTAATTTATCTTTTATCTATTTATTCATTTTAATTTGGCCAGAGGGGGACAGAGTGAGAGCGAGAGTGAGATAGAGAAAGCAAGCCGCCAGGTTCAGGACTTAAACTGCGGTCGGCCATGTAGGAGACCAGTGCCCCTAACCACCACACTACCTGCTGGTCCCCCCGTTTTGCCTTTTAACATCTTTTCTCAGGGTTGGTAATATTAATGCTTGTCTGTTCTACATACTATTCTGAATTTTAAGAAATCTGTCAGAATTAGTAACATGTCTATAGAAGTGATATACTTTTATTGACCACATGGGTTTTCTTTATTAAAAACAGCTAAATAAAAATTTCAGTGAGCGATAATGTACAAACTGGTGTGTGTTCTTCATCATTTATGTGCTCTTGGGAGGATGACTCATGCACTGTTGTCTCTTGAGTAGCTGAGAGTTTATAAAGAGATTACAAACAGTTGGCAATGGAATTAAAATAAATGTATAAAATGGAAGAGAAAACATGTTCCTACTTTATTCTTCTCTTACCTTTACAAAAATTTTTGTTGTTGCTGGAGGGCAAGTATACTTGTGAGACAGAGAGAGAGAGAGAACTTCTCAGTGGGGTGTGGTCATACGTCAATAGCTTCTCCTCAATTTCTCCTTCCTATCAGAATTTTGGGCATGCATAAACACATGTGCCTAGCTTGTGGTTCAAGACAATGGGCAAGGATTCAAACCTGATTGGCCAGTGGATTCAGCTCCCAAAGCATAACTGTGCTTCAGGGTGGCCCACCTTTACAAAATGTCTACCACTTAAAAGTTTTTATTCACGTCAAGGTCAGTATCTGATATCGGTATGGTTCTACCCATTGTTGTCTGAAGATTTACTGTTATATATATATTTGGGATGCTATTAAAATAATTCATTTATTTATTTTTAGTTTTTGCTATAGTGCTCATGCCAGGGAGAGAGAGAGAGAAAGTGAGAAATTACCCTCCCCCACCTGGGATCAAGTGCCTTAGCCTCTGTTCCCCCTGCTGGCCACAGAATTTCCTGTCTTGTGACAAAATGAGTATGCTCCCAAAAGGAGAAAATACAGTTTGATTTCAGATTGACAAATAGCTCTTCAAGGACTAGTGTCAAGAGTAAAAGAGTTATCTCTATTTTTAGGACTGGGAGGCAGTTTAAAGGGGAAAGAATGAAATGATATAGTTAAAGTTGAGATCACTGACAATCAATTGTTGGTTGCCTCCAACATCTCTTATTGCTCTCTTGGCAGTATTTTAGAAATATATTAATCTCGGGACCAGCAGGTGCCATAGTGGTTAAGGTGTTAGACTCCCACATGGCCAACTGTGGTTTGGGTCCTGGACCTGGTGGCTTTAAAGTCACACCAGGCGTATGTACGTGCATGCCCAAAATCCTAGGAGGATAATGGAGGGGAAGCAATTGTGGTGTGGCCATGCCCCTTGGGGATGATTTCTCAATTTTCCTTTCACTGTCTGTCTCTGTCTCTCTCCAGCAAATGCATGTGCCTTTAGGGCAAAAACCTTAAAAAAAAAAAAAAAAAGAACTATATTTCTCCTAACCATTCCTTTAGTGGAAAAAGTCATAGACCTTAGGATCCAGCAGCAAAGGTTGTGAGCCATTTGTGACCTCATTGAATAGTCCCTAATTGCTTTCTGAGGCTCTCAAGGTTTTGTTTTTGGTTGGGAAGTCTGAAGTTTATAATGGACAAGATTGCTATTAGAACTAAGGAGATGCTGCCTCTTTTTTTTCTTTAAAGAATTATTTTATTTAACTTTATTTATTTTAATTTGACTAGAGAGGGACAGAGAGAGAGAGAGAGAGACAGTGAGAATGAGAGCAAGAAAGCAAACCACCAGGTCTGGAACTCTAATCATGGTTAGCCACATGGGAGTCCAGCACCTGTAACCACCATGCCACCTGCTGGCCCCGAGACGGCTTTAATAAAGATGCAAGTTAATCAAAATGAAATGTGTTAGAAATGAACTTCTTTGAGAAGGCAAGAATTAATTCCAGAAATAACTTTAATATAATTAATTTAACACATATTTAGAAAATATTTTCCTTTATAAAGGAGTATATATACTAAGTATTGTGGGGGGATCCAGGGGTGAGTAGAACATGATTGAAACTGCCTACTTTGCGTCTTTCTGAGAAGGATGTCATAGGCCAAGGGGGAAGGTTTTTCTAAAGGAGTGCCTTCCAGTGCAGAGAGTGCCTAGTGGGTTATTACCAAGGCCATTAACATGAGGATTTGGCTTCATACTCAGCAAGATGGCTGGGCTGTATCAGCTCAAGGAGGCACTGTTTACATTAGGAGAACATTGAGTTACATATTAGCTCTGACATACATGATTAGTTTTGGGTGAGACAGAGTTGAGGTGAGATTGGGATTTTCCCAGGTGTGTCCTGCAAAGAGCTCAGCTGGGTTCTACATACATCAGACAGGTCATAACTGTTCCTGGGAGATGAACTTCCCCAAGAGTCCCCAAGAGAAACCGGTGAGACACCCAGACATGGAACTTCAGATTTAATCAGCCTCAATTTCTCAACTAAGATCAGGAAACTTGAGAGCCTCAGGATGCAATTAAGGACTACTCAACAGAGTCACAAATGACTCACACCCCACACCACGGGGATGGAGGAACTCCTGTAAATGCTGAGATTGGCACCAGGAGTATTGAATGTATTTAAATATTCTCTGAAATGGAAGTACAATGATTATTAGGCAAACCAGAGTGTGACAGAGTCATAACAAGCTTTTTTTCTGCCAACCACCTTACTTGCCCATTAAATGCTGTGCTCTTTACTAAATATATCATGAGCTGTGTTCCTACTCACCTCTGACCTATCCACAGCCCAGGACCAGAGCTCACTAAGTACTGCTCGGAACTAACTACTTGGCCATGGACTGTTAGAAACCCAGAGGCAAAAGAAAAGCTGCAAAAATCAGGTTGCACCTGCTTCTATTCTGCCAACCACCTTACTTGCCCATTAAATGCTGTGCTCTTTACTAAATATATCATGAGCTGTGTTCCTACTCACCTCTGACCTATCCACAGCCCAGGACCAGAGCTCACTAAGTACTGCTCGGAACTAGGGAACTCGGAACCTAACTGTCCTGTGGCCTCTTTCTGGCAGTTGGGTGAGTCCTGAGGGCCTGATATTTGAAGCTCAGACAGGAAGGGGCAGTAGGTTGGTTATGGCATCTCGTATAAGGGAGACCATGTAAGCAGGGGGGAGCTGGCCGCAGAGGAATTCATGACCCGATCTCATGATGCAGATGTAGAGGAAGAAGAGCCAGCTTTCCCCCCTAGACTCCTGGGGCTGTGGGACTGTCTCATATAAACTGTGTCTTAGTAACTGGGCCTGTCAGACCAGGATGGGGTCATCAGAGTAACCTGATGCCTAGGATTTGTCTTTGCCAGATCAGGAATGTAGTTCTGCAGGCCGTCTGTTACATCTGGGTCTAAGGGAGAAGAGGGACTGGTTGGCAGTTGTTCCTCAACGTGTCTAGGCACTTTCAGCTCAAGAATTGAGCCATGAATAGTGGCATGTTTGGCTCTCTGTGCGGCTATCCTTTGATCTCTAGTCTTGAGCCATGATGTCAAGTTGACCAAGTTGGCACACATATAAAGCCTGGACTGGCTCAGGCTTCTGTCTCAGACTTAAGAAAGGAAACTGGCCTGCTGCTCCTGAAATGGTGCCCACAGGCTGGCAGAGCACTGACTGGTACCTATCCCTTTCAGAGGTGGGATTAGATCTGCGTGAAAATATTCCATTGTGTATGTTCTGGGAGTTTATTCCATATCCTTTCAAGCACTGCCTGGCCAGAGCCCAGTGGAGTTTGCTAAGAATGGGTTTTATATGAAAAGAAAATGTTACCTTTATTTAAGTAATCTCAGGTAGAGATGGGAGACGATGAGTAAATTTGACTTTGAAAGATTAGAAATGTCTATGTCGTCTAAGACAAAAGGACCAATATGATTAAAAGATAGATAATAGACTGGAGGAACTCCTGTAAATGCTGAGATTGGCACCAGGAGTATTGAATGTATTTAAATATTCTCTGAAATGGAAGTACAATGATTATTAGGCAAACCAGAGTGTGACAGAGTCATAACAAGCTTTTTTTCTGCCAACCACCTTACTTGCCCATTAAATGCTGTGCTCTTTACTAAATATATCATGAGCTGTGTTCCTACTCACCTCTGACCTATCCACAGCCCAGGACCAGAGCTCACTAAGTACTGCTCGGAACTAGGGAACTCGGAACCTAACTGTCCTGTGGCCTCTTTCTGGCAGTTGGGTGAGTCCTGAGGGCCTGATATTTGAAGCTCAGACAGGAAGGGGCAGTAGGTTGGTTATGGCATCTCGTATAAGGGAGACCATGTAAGCAGGGGGGAGCTGGCCGCAGAGGAATTCATGACCCGATCTCATGATGCAGATGTAGAGGAAGAAGAGCCAGCTTTCCCCCCTAGACTCCTGGGGCTGTGGGACTGTCTCATATAAACTGTGTCTTAGTAACTGGGCCTGTCAGACCAGGATGGGGTCATCAGAGTAACCTGATGCCTAGGATTTGTCTTTGCCAGATCAGGAATGTAGTTCTGCAGGCCGTCTGTTACATCTGGGTCTAAGGGAGAAGAGGGACTGGTTGGCAGTCGTTCCTCAACGTGTCTAGGCACTTTCAGCTCAAGAATTGAGCCATGAATAGTGGCATGTTTGGCTCTCTGTGCGGCTATCCTTTGATCTCTAGTCTTGAGCCATGATGTCAAGTTGACCAAGTTGGCACACATATAAAGCCTGGACTGGCTCAGGCTTCTGTCTCAGACTTAAGAAAGGAAACTGGCCTGCTGCTCCTGAAATGGTGCCCACAGGCTGGCAGAGCACTGACTGGTACCTATCCCTTTCAGAGGTGGGATTAGATCTGCGTGAAAATATTCCATTGTGTATGTTCTGGGAGTTTATTCCATATCCTTTCAAGCACTGCCTGGCCAGAGCCCAGTGGAGTTTGCTAAGAATGGGTTTTATATGAAAAGAAAATGTTACCTTTATTTAAGTAATCTCAGGTAGAGATGGGAGACGATGAGTAAATTTGACTTTGAAAGATTAGAAATGTCTATGTCGTCTAAGACAAAAGGACCAATATGATTAAAAGATAGATAATAGACTGTGAGAAAATAGGCTATTATAATCAGGCAAAGAAAAAATATAGATACTTAAAAAGAAACAGCTTTAAATTAGTAAGAAAAAACTATGGAAGAAAATAAGCAAAAAGAGTTAAAAAGCAATCATCAGAAATGGCCAGTAAATACAGATACTTCATGAATAAGTAGAGTTTCTCCCATTGAATTAGTGGAAATTAAGGGTAATTTGGCAACGGTTGTGTTGGCAATGGTTAGGCAAAAATGGGTATACTGCACATACAGTGAGCATATAAATTGTTCAGACCTTTTTGAGAAGGCAGTTTGGAGGTATCTATGAAAATAACATATCTTTGATTCACTAACTTTGCATCTAGTGAAATACAAGCTAACATGTTCATTCCACTGTTGTTATTACTGGTGAAATACTGGAATGATTATATTGCACAGTGGTTCAGCTAGCCTATAGATAAGCAGCACCTAAAAGTGTGGTAGATCTTTGTCTAATTGATGTGAAAAGTTCTCTCAGATACATTTTTCTTTCTTTTTTTTTTTTTCTAATAAGAGAGAAAGAGATAGGTATGTCTTTCCCAAAGCTTTATTTATTTGTGTTTCTATGAGTGATAGAAAGAGATAGAAGCCACCCCCAACAGAATCTTGACACCATAATCCATTCCTAGCCTTCATCCAGCACTGGGAGTTACCAGGGGCTTGATTTTGAGTATGTGCCTGATATGACTTGAACCAGGAATCTTCCCATGTGTGTCTGCCTCACAGAGTATCGTGTTTACCATGTACCACTGTCTGATTCCAAGAGAGGTGTTTTATTTATTTCTTTATTTTTAGAGAGAGATATTTTTGCTATAGGGTACATGCATTTGCCAGAGAGACAGAAGTCAGAAATCATGACCCAGAGTGGATGACCATGCCGTGTCCCTTCTCCTTCATTCCCTCAGGATTTGGGGCACACAAGCATATGCACCCAGTGTAAAATTTAAGTCGCCATTTCCAGGACTAAAACTGTGGTTGACTACATGGGAGTCCAGTGATATGTAACCATTATGCTATCTGCTTGTCCCTCCAAGATAGGTATATTTTTTGACAGGGTCTTGCCATGCTGCATGCAGCCTCCCAGTTAGCCAGAATCACAGGTGCTGTCTGCTGCACTCTGTTTAGGTTGGTCCAGAAACCAAACCTGGGCCTCCCATGTGGCTCCAACCTCCTATGGGAGTGCCATTCCATGCGTACAACCATGGCTGTGCCATCATGGGTACAATTTAGTGAGCAAAATAAATGATAAAACTACCACATTTGTGTTTAACAAGTCTTCAAAACTAGATTTATTTCTATATGTATTGTATTTTATAAATTATATATTGTGCATCTAAAGTCTATATATAAAATAAATTCGTTTACATTCTATATTTATTGTAGTTCATAGATTGTAAAACATGCTTTTCAGTTTTTTCCCCGCCTAGGGCATGTGCACTCACCAGAGAGAAGGAAAGTGAGAAATCACCCCCTGGGGGGATGACCACACTGTAGTCCCTCTTCTCGTCTCCTCTCAGGATTTTGGGCATACAGGCACACACACCCAGCATGACTTTCAAGCTGCCAGGTCTGAGACTCGAACAGTGTAGTTGGTCATGTGGGATCCAGTGCTCTAAACTCTATGCCACTAGCTGGCCTTGCTTTCTCAGATTTTAACATTTCTGCAGTAAGTGTATCTAATAAATAATGGCATAGTTTAATAGTTGAGGATCTTTCTTTCATAATATAAGAATATTTAGAAATGTTTTTCTTTACTCATAATAGAGTACATGCATGAACATGTGAGAATGAAAGGAGGCAGGGAACTACCTTCCACAGGGTCTGGTCAAGCTGCTAGCCCCTTTGTCCAGTCTTTTAAAAGGCCTGTCTGATCTTGAGCATTCTGCCTGGCATATTTCAGGCTGACTGGGTTAGCGGTTCAAAACTGTGGTTGCTGTGTGCTGTCTACCTCCTCTGTGTTTTCTTCCTTATAAATAAGACCTATATTTGATGAAAGAGGATTGTAGATGCATTGATTAAAGACTAAGGAAGAGGGACTGGCAGGTGTTGTGGAGGTTACAGTGCTGGACTCTTACATGGCATACTGTGGTTCAAGTCCTGGACCTGGCAGCTTGCTTTCTCACTTTCTCTCTCTCTTCTGTCTCATCAAATAAATAAATGTCAAATAAATAAATAAATAAAATAGGTTTTTTTAGAGAAATTTTTGCTATAGGGCATATGTGCTCGCCTGAGAGAGACAGAGAGACAGAAAGCTAGAAATCACCCTTTAGGGGAGATGGCAACACAGTAATCCATTCTCCTCTTGGGATCTTGGACATGCATGCACATGCACCTGGCATAGTTTTTTTTTTTGTTTTGTTTTTTGTTTGTTTGTTTGTTTGTTTGTTTTTAGAGAATTGTTCTATTTATTTATTTATTTATTTATTTATTTTAATTTGACCAGAGAGGGACAGAGAGAGAGCAAGGGACAGTGAGAAAATAAACCACCCGGTCTGTGACTCAAACCACAGTCGGCCTTGTGGGAATCCAGTGCCTTTAACCACCATATCACCTGCTGGCCCCATTAAGTTGCCAGATCCAAGACTTGAACTGTGGTTGACCACATGGGAGTCCAGCAGTGTAACCATTATGCCATCTGTTAGTCTAAAATAAAATGATTGTTTAAAAAAAGAAAATACTAAGGAAGGTATTAGTGGGA